TACGACACAGTGATGAAGGAATTATCTTCCTTGATCTTGCTTGCATTTCTTTGAAGGACTTGATGAGTCTTAGTGGTGATGGATTGCTTCCATTTGCTTGTGTGATGCCTGGCCCCACCCCAAAAGACCAAGGAAGGGTTCACATGCAGTCGGACCTTTGACCAAACTCTGCTGAAAACACAACAAGGTGCTGTGCCAGATAGTTCCTGATGCATAGTACTGGCTGCACTCTCCTGAAAGGTATTGTCGAAGGTGTTTTGCATTTTGGTGTGGCAAGATTGGACGAAAATATCTTATGCAGACTCATGGACGGCATGACCCCTTTGCTGTAGGATGGTGGTTCAGGGATTAGCTGTTGCACCTGTTCTTTCATTCTGTGCCCGTTTGGTCAGGCTCATCAGAACCGAAGCTAATCCACCCAATGCACCTCTCATGACCCGGGTGGGGAGGTGGGTGTGTTGGACGTGTTTTTTTGATATTGGCCCTGGTCCACTGGTGCCACATTCAGATGACCGTGCTTCTTGGCTCAGCCCTTTTCAACGGTTAACTGGAGTGCGGGATCTTGAGGGGTGTCACGCAAGGAATAATATGGCTTCCAAGCGACAATGCTGCAGCTACGGCGTGTGTCAGTAGCAACTTTGATTGCACGTGCCTTTGGATGGCAGTTGCGGTGTTTGGTGTTGAGCGCCTCGAGGTTTCAGCACATTCTGAACGATCCTGGTCAGACCAGCAAGGCCTACGCAGGTCATGCTGGCCGCGCACTGTCGTTGGTGTGTGCGAAGCGCCGTGGAACGATCCTGCAAGAATTTTGCAAGAGATGCTGGCGCGATTAAATCCGCATAGCACAATCGAAGAGCCTACCCAAGGGACTCGCAGCAATGGGGCTCGCAGGTCAGCCTTGGAGGCAGATTATGATTTCACCTTGGATGTTCGCAAAATTGAGTGCAAAAGTGCACAGATGTCTTGGGACAAGTTTCTGAAGTGTTGGCGGGTACGCTTTTGTGCCGTCAAGATGCCATGGCCAGGTTTTCGGGACCAGGCTCCATTTGATGATTTGTATCTCACAGTCTTCAGCCCAGATAGCCTGCACATCATCAAGCATGATCTTCAGGCTGGAGTTACAACGGCTGGCAAGCGAACAGGAAGCAGTGGTCATGAGATTACTGTCCGAGGTGCTCGCGGACAAGAATGCTGGCAAACTGCTCTCTCTCAAATTCTCGACAAGTTTCTGGCTGCAGGGCACTGCGAACTTGTGGCTCGCATAGATTTATCAGCCACGAAAGCAAGGGCCTTTCTGGCACAGCAAATGGAAGGATTGGCAACACGCCAGGACACTGAGTACGAGGGGGTGCCATTGAGCCAAATAACACCAGCACTACGTGGCTTGCGAATTGAAGAAATAGCGTTTGAAGTGGATCGAGTGCTCTACCCAAATTGTATCTTTTCACGAACTTCTTCCAAAGTAGACTGGTTTCGTGGAGAGGTCAGAGTGGAAGTCAAGCATGGGATGATGCGGTTCGACAAAGGGCACAGGCGTTGGATGTGTTCATTCAGAAACATCAAGTGTGACCTGTTTGACGAACTTTGGCTTGCAATCTACAGCCCTTTCGGTATTCATTTTCTGAAGCATCCTGGTGGCCAAGTCCGTTTCAGCCTCACAGGTTTGAAGGAGGAAGCTCGTGGAAAGGAAATGCATGTCCTGGGCAGCCAGCACCTGCTTGATGTGAGGGAGGCCCTTGACGACATGCTCAAAAAGATGGAGGAATGGGGCTGCCAACGGCTTGCAACAATTCTTTGGTGATTCACGTGCAAAAGCTGCCCCTTGCTTTGTTTTCCGGCAGCTGCGCTGCTCCAACCAAGCCTTTCTTTACATGATGTGGGTCCATTTAGCCGTGACAGGTAAGTTCTACAAGGCCATTGTTCCTCCACTAATCATAGTGATGGCAGCCGCCGGAAATCAATGCGCTAACACTGCCCCGACTGCATGGCATCCTGCCCAATCGGAATGCCAAGGCCTTTCGTGTCAAAATGGACTCTGTAAAGAAAGGCTGTTCAAGTTAGTGGCCCATGCTGGTGCCACTCGTGTGAAGGCAGATCGTTCACCCCCCCTTTTGCTCACCAGTTACTGAATCTGTGCATCAACCTTTTACAGTCATACGGCGCGTTTCCACCTCAAGAGGTCAGTTTCAACATGTTTCAACGGATCCTTCAGGGTTCAACGACCGCCCAAGCAAGCATCACATCAGCGTGCGGGTCATTGAGGCCCTGATTGCGAGAGAGAGCCTTTGGGATCGACTTGAAGGCCGGGCCATGGCGGAGAACGGGTGCATTGCGACATGAGCCTCTTGGACCTTTTGGTTTGAAGTCGATGTCACAACACCTGAAATTATAGGTTTCCTGCATGACATGGATGTGAAGAGAAGAGGTGCAAACTTGGGTGACAAGCAGCTGGTTTTCTACATGAGCCCTTTTATATACAGATGTTAAGCCTGTTGTGTGGAGCAAGAGAACCTCCAAAGTCAGGCAAATTTTCCCAACATCACCTGGAGCTCGCGGGAGCCGTTTGGACCATTGTGCGACCCTTGGGAGTTGAAGCCAAGATGTTGTGGTAAGAGTGCCAGCGCAAGGCACAGCTAGCCTTGCTTTCGCCTCCTCCACCCAGAGGGATGATGATTTGTAGGAGAATTGCCTTTGAACCGTGAAGGTTGGGCACGCCAACGATTCAAAACAAACCACATCGTGGTGACATGGACTTTCAAACGCAATCTTCCACAGGTTGACCGAGGAAGTTCCTCATGCAAGCGCAAGACCTGCAGAAGAAGACCAGGACCTGCAGGCCATTTGGGACGTCTTTGTTCAATGCAGCGGTTCCTGTGGGCATAGATGACAAAGTGCCGCAAACATTGGCAGAATTTGATCTTGTTCAACGGTTCTAAACACCGACAGATCTAGAGGAGCCAAGTAAAATGTTGCTTCCCAACCATATATACACGAGAGATCGCAAAGCCGACAGCTGCCATCAACCAGGATTATGGCACCTGTTCTGTGACACTGTCTTTACGCCGTTCACAGTTCACGCTGGGCCAAGGGGTCACCAAGGTCGCCACCAAAGAGGCGGCGATCTTTTTGTTGCAAAGGCGCCAGGCAGGGTGAAGGGACGGCCATGCTGGG